GCACTGGCTCCCTGTAAAATCCAGAACTGAATTTAAAATCCTACTCTTAACTTACAAAGCTTTAAATGGTCAGGCTCCGTCATATCTTAGAGAGCTCATAGTGCCCTATTATCCACATTTAAGACTAGACTTAAGACTTTCCTTTTTGATAAAGCTTATAGTTAGGGCTGGATCAGGCTTGCCTTGTACCAGCCCCTAGTTAGGCTGACTTAGGCCTAGTCTGCCGGGGGACCTCCTGTAATACACCAAGCACCTTCTCTCTCTCTCTCTCTCTCTCTCTCTCTCTCTCCTTTGCTAACACCCATGTCTTGCTACTGCATCTCGCTAATTCGGCCATACTGCATGTCACTAACTCGGCTTCTTCTCCGGAGCCTTTGTGCTCCACTGTCTCGCAGGTTAACTTATATCGCAGCGGTGCCTGGATAGTGTGACATGTGTGGTTGTGCTGCTGCTGTGGTCCTGCCTGATGCCTCCTGCTGCTGCTGTTATCATTAGTCATACTTCTTATTTATGTGTTATTATACACATATGATTATTGTCACATATACTATCAGATATATATACTTTCAACATATTGTACCACAATAGCCGTAATTAGAATTATAATATCATTACTTTAATTAATGTTGTTAGAAGCTACTGTCATTACTGTCTGTCCTGCATCTCTCTCTGTCTCTGTCTCTGTCTCCCCTTCTGTCTCATTGTGTCATACGGATTACTGTTAATTTATCATGTTGATCTGTTCTGTACGACATCTATTGCACGTCTGTCCATCCTGGAAGAGGGATCCCTCCTCAGTTGCTCTTCCTGAGGTTTCTACCGTTTTTTTTACCCAATAAAAGGGTTTTTTAGGGGGAGTTTTTCCTTATCCACTGTGAGGGTCCAAAGGACAGAGGGATGTTGTATGCTGTAAAGCCCTGTGAGGCAAATTGTGATTTGTGATATTGGGCTTTATAAATAAAATTGATTGATTGATTAAATAATAATAATAAAAAGAAACACCCCCTGTAAACTTGTCATGAATGTTGAAATTAACTATAGAGACCAAAACTGTTTTGTAGCAGGCTGTAAACATGTTTATTTCTGCTGTAAAGTTGGACATTTTAACATGGGGGTTTGACTTGCTCTTGGAGCCAGCCTCAAGTGGTCATTAGAGGAACTGCAGTTTTTGGCACTGCAGCATTGGCTTCATTTTTCAGCCTCAGAGGTTGCCGCTTGTTCTGAAATGCCCAACAGGTACTCCCTTGCTGCCATAATCTTGTTTTCCTCAGTTGTACCTACATTTAAGTACCAGTAGGAACTGTTAAATTGATTCATAACATTTAATTACACTGTAAATCACTGGCTGTATTATAAAGTTTTACCAAATTAGATTTAAAAAATTGCAGAATACATTTACTATTACCACAGCTGCTAAAGAAAAAAACTTGACTTTTGGAACCTAGACTCACTTTCACATTTTACTGACACATTGTAACCAGGGCATTACAGAGAGGTACAAAGACTTTTTATGAGGACAGGCACAGGCAGTAGCTCCAGCTTCCTGAAATTCTCTCGGTAGTTTGTGATTTAGCACAGAGTAGATACATATCTCCTGCATAGCTGAGCAGCCACAGGATTCAACATGCATCTTAAGTCCAGATGCAAAGATCTTTTTTGTAAAAAAAAAAAAATAAATAAAAAAAATGATACAATAAGATAAAATAAAATAAAATAGAATAAAAATAAAAAGATCATATTTAGCAGGTTTCATGGGTTTGATAGCAAACCTGCAAAACAACCATACCAACATGATCATTCATGCAGTTGCTTTTTACATTCATCAGATAATCTGCTGGTTAGATAAAATCCCTGATGCTCAGTTGCAACACCTCCATTTAGAAAATGGTCATCACATGTAATGTATGACTGTATGTATCATTAACAGCATTAAGAAAAAGGAAAGTTTTTTTGTTTGTTTGTTTGTTTTTATGCAGTGGGCCAGATATTTGTCATCCCTACCTGTTAAGCTACTTTTCTAAGCCATACAATATGTAATATATACAGGCAAGGGTGTAGTTTTGTTTCAATATTGGGGGAAAACATCTAAAACAGGAGGTCTGGGGGTCCTCTGACTGAGTGTCAAAAAACTTAATTTGCTCCTTTTCTGCACAAATTTATTGTGTAATAATGAATCAATTTTGTCAAAGTCCTCTGCTTATTTCATGTTTTACTGGGGGACACAAATGCACATGTCTCCTGTCCCCTGTGTCTTCCTCAAAGAGGTTATACAGAGTTCCCTGGATATCTACTGGTGTTATCTATGGATGATGCATTTGTAAACTATTTAAATTCTAATCAATAGAAAATTAATAGGCAAATATTTTGACAGACAACAAATTGTTTAAAGGTCCAGTATGTATGATTTCAGAGGATTTAGTTGAATCTAGCAGAGAGGACTGCAAATTGGAACCAGCTGAAACTTCTCCTACTTAGAATTCCTTCATTGTTCATGGTTCAGGAGGTTTTTGCCAGGAGCTGAATTTCTAACAGAGGTCTACTCCTCTCCAAAACAAATGGACCAGGTGATTAAAACCAGTAAAAACACTGAATAAAGCAGTTTCACATTACTAATCAATGCTTCACTGTTCACTGTTCAGCAACACTGTTCAGCTTGTTGCAGTTAACTCGCTTGCCCAGCACTTGCTAATGTGTGCCCACATTTCATCTGATAACTTAATGTGTGCTCACCTTATTTCTGATCCACATGTTCAGGAAGTATTTAACCATGAGCCAAATTATCTGCAGAGGTCTCTTCCGCTCCAAAACAAACCAACCGGAGGCCTGTACTATGAAACCAGTTCAGCTTTGCCAGGACATCTTTTCTTTGTCTGGATTGACAAACCCGTCACATTGGCCATCTGGATAACCGCTACTACAAAGCTGATTATCAACTTAGTTTGGTCAACTCTGGGTTTTCCTATCCAGCCACAAGTGCGTTCATGTGGAAGAGGTGGGGTATTAATTGCAAGTGACATAATCAGAACCATGAATGAAATAGGCTGTGTCATATGATTTGCGATGAAATGATAACCATAGTGTCTGGGACTGCGAGACAGTGAAATGGCAGTGGTGTGAGTTGTTTTGTGTTGTTTTTATATTTCGCCTTGATTATTGTAATGCCATTACAAACTGCCATTACAAAATGACAGACCATTCAGAATGCTGCTGCCAGGGTTTTACAAAAACTAAAGAGAGACTGTTTTACATAACCTATATTGGCTCCCAGTATCTTTTAGAACTGATTTTTAAGTCCTTCTGTTCCACTCCTTTAAGTGACCCCACATGCCCTGTATGGAGGCCTCTGCATTTGTTATGTCTCTCTACTAATTTATTCAGGTTTTTTTTTCTTTAATTTGTTCCCTGTTTGATGGGGGAAAAATTAAAGGAAAAGCCTGAATGAAAGAGCGGCAAAATAAATCAAATGTAAATGCTTCCATGCCCCAGGGCTCACTGAGTGGTTTGTTAAGTGTGAAAATGTCATGAATAAAATGTAAGAGTGTGTACGACAATGCTCTCTGCCACCATCACCAGAACACCAAATCATATTAATTTTTAGCTTCAAATTTAAAAAAAAAAAGAGCTGTACTCAGGAGTCTTTTGAAAAGAGCTCAAACTCTCAGTGAGATTATCTGATGAAATAAAGATTGTATTTATAAATGAGGGAATATATTGTGGAAATTTTGGGAAAGACCACTGCGCTTAAACCTCTGGGTGCGTTGTCCAAAAAGACCCCTTAAATGAATCAAAAAAATGGGGAGGTGTGCAATCCCCATTTTTTTGATTCATTTAAGGAATATATTGTGGAGGAATGGTGTTCATCCCGTGCAGAGTTCCACGAGTCCCAGAACAGCAATGAAGACTGAAGCTGTTCTGGGTCTCGTGGTGGCATGAATGCATACTACGACACCTCATGTTGTTTTTTTCTCTTCATTTGTCACCAGTCATATACATATTACACACACAGCGGCCAGTTTATTAGGTACACCTTCCTATAACTAATGCACTCTAATACAACAGTCAGTGAGGGTCCTGTAGCAGCTGTTGTGTTAGACTGCATTGATTTTGCAGGTGGACCTCTCAGTTTCACCTTACACAGTAAATAATCAGTAATAATGCTCCAATAATAAAGTGTATACAGTATCTAACATGTGACATTCTGCATAATGAGTACTTGAATTTGTGATATTTGAGTACATGTTGTTGATAATACTTCTGTAGTTTTATTTAAGTAAACATTTGAACATGCATGACTTTTACTTGCAATGAATAAGCTTTTTACAGGGTGACATTAGTACTAGTTTTGAGTATTTTTTTTTCTCAGTTTTTTCATATCCCAGCACTGACATCACTGTTGCAGCTCCTGATTAAATCCATGTATTTTGTCTCAACAAAGTTGCACTACAAGAGCTGTGGGGTGACACTGACAGTAAAATGTGCCTCAGTTCAAAAACCTTTATGGACTGAGTCTTTGTTACACATACCACGGAAAATAGAAACCACTGCCAAGTCTATCAAACACTTCATCTGTAAGAGTGCAAAGGCAGTGCAATATATGGCACATTATACACAATTCCCTGGCAATGCTTAAGCACAATACATGGAGTGAACTGTTCCCGCACTGCACAGTCAGAAAGCAATCACAGGACACAAACACAGTAGTGCAAAAACATTAGCAGCACCTTGATACAACACTGATGACTTGATGCAATAAATTAGTGCATTACATGAGATGCGAAATCGATATTAAGTTACAAATAGCAAGATCTGTCTGTTGTAATAATGTCCAGCAGATACAAGAGACAATCCTCCAGCAGGTCATTTGATTTTCTCTCTGATAATTGGCTTAATATCCTGCAAATCATCGGTCATTACTGTACTTTGCTCCCGGAGATGTGGGAGTCCTGGCAGTGCATGACACGCAGGGAATCAGCCGCACGGAAGTGAACCGACTGTGCGTCTTATCCTTTCATCAGGTCCGAGTTATCGTGAGTCTCTTGTGGCGAGTCCGCTTCCACGGGTTTGCGGTAAATGACTGCGCCTCTCAGGCCGGCCAGAGACAGCCGGGCCCGCATGTTGAGCCGATGAAGCTTCATTAGGAACTCATCATTTCCTACAATATAAATCAGCGGGTTTATTGCGCTGTTTAGACAAGCCAGGCATCTGCCGATCTGGTGCGCAATGTAGATGCCGCGGAAACTGGTGTAGCAAATCCCATCTAATTTTGAAATCCTGGTGCTCAGATTAACATTTCGAAACACGTGGTAGGGGATAAAACAGATGGAGAACAGTATCACCAGAATCACGACCAATTTCAAACACCGCTGCTTCAGCAGAGGGTTGATGTTGGCTTTTTTGGAGAGAACCACAACAACGTGTCCATAACACACCAAAATGATCAGCAGTGGTATGGCAAACCCCGTGACAGTCCAGCCGATGCTGTATGGCAGGTAGCGTCTAATCAGGTCGTCCGAGGTGGTGTCGAAACACGCGTTTGGGTGTTTTAAGTCAGTCTTGTCGAAAAACAAATCAGGGAGGATCTGGATAATGACGAAAAGCCAGACCAGGGTGCTTATAGCCAGCGAGTGGCGGCTAGTGATTTTCCCCATCACTCTCATGGGGTGCACGATGCCCAGGTACCTGTAGATGCTGATACAGGTGAGGAAGCCGATGCTGCCATAAAGGTTAAGGTTGAAGCAGAAGCGGGTCACCTTGCAGAAAGGCTGGCCGAACGGCCAGTGGCTGCTGCGTGCGTAATAGTACACGAGGAACGGCAGGGTGAACAGGTACAGCAGGTCCGCCACCCCCAGGTTGAACATGAAGATGTTAATGCTTCCGATTTTGTTCCAGCTGCAGTACACACTCCTCAGCCCCCAGATGTTTGACAGCGTCCCGACAACAAACACAGTGATGAAGACGGGCGGCAGAAAGGCGTGCGTAAAATTCAGGTTGATGCTCTCGCAGGTGATATTTAAAGACATCTCTTCGGCTCTCGCTGGTTTAAAATGTCCCTTTTATCCAATCTGAACTTTTCCACAAAAATAAATCAGTAACCAGTGGCCCCGACTCAGTCTTATCAAACATCTCCTCTGGAAACTACTTGTGTGTCGTGCAGAGCAATGCTTAAGTGAATACGAAAGCAAGAAGATACCCGCCCACTTCCTAGTCTAGTGGATGATGTGACACGCACGCTGGCATTCTTGAATATAGAAAACAAAACTAACAAATCAACATTACAGTCATTTACAGAGAACGAATCAAAGGATTTATTCCCGTAAAATGATTTACATCACTACCTGTCGTTACAGAATAGGTCGTACGTGCCCATAACTGTTTCATAAATTACTCGTTTATATTGAAAGATTAAAATCAAGCTATAAAAAACCACGTGGGCTTATTACTTGCAAAATATCAGAATGAGTTATTGGGGATTTGGCCCTCGATGTTGCAGCACTCACACACTCCTTCCGTCTTGTCAAACAATGGTTATGTAATAACTTCACAACAAGGTGGATATGTGTAAACATTTAAATCAAATGCAGATAAATAAATGCCATTCACATGCATACAAAATTAGAGTCAATTTGAGTTAACATTTATTTATCAGTTTAGCAGTGTTTTCAATGAAACAAACAGTTCAATCAAATCTGATCTTTTTGAGATAAATTGAAAATACATCCTAACATTTGCAAATGAATACTGTATAGTATTCAAAAAAGTGTACTTGAATTTGTATATTTTAAAATATGCTTATAATGTGTAATAATAACTATTTAATATAAATCTATTACCATCTAAAATTCTCAAATCAGTGTGCAGCTATCTGTTAGTTTTGTCCAACGTTTGGCTAACTCAGGTTAGCAGATCTTGGCACCAAGATAACTCTTACTGTACTGAAGGGGCTGAAGAAACAGCAAAGTGGATGTTTGTGTGTTCATTCTGGAGACATGAAAGCTAATGGGGGTTATGGTTCAATATCCAGGGCTCATTCTGAGTTGTATGCATCTGCCTGGCTGTCAGTCAGTGTCACTGCCAAGCAATGAGAACATCTCTATGGTGGCTGCTCTATGCAATACAGAGCAACAACAGCATTGTCCATTTAGTCTGGAGGTTGTTTTTATGAAATCAAAACTCAATTTTTCTTGTACCATTCAGGGCTGGACTGGCCATCTGGAGTACCAAGCACTTTCCAACTGGGCCGATGTGACCTTAGGGACAACACAACTGTCTTTTTTTTTTTTTTTTTTTGACCAGCCAAAACACAGGTAGATCTGTCTATTGGTTTATTTCTTAATTGACACTGGGCTGACCCAATCACATCTTTAAACCCCTCCCTCTTTGGGCTCAGCAGAATCATTAAACAGCATCTGCCAAAAAAAAAAAAGAAAAAACGGCAAGAAAATCAACCAAAAAAAGGGAGACGCAGTGAAATTGCAGGCCAAACAAAGACTTTAATCTGTACTATTCAGACCTTTTTAGTGACTAGCTGCTTAGAGAGTTTGGTCTCACTCCGAAGTGGTTGAAATCTGGCGCTTGGGCAGTGACTTGCAGCATCATAAACAATGAAAAAAGGCGTCCTTTAAAGTCGGCATAATACGCTGCTGGTTGCGGTTATAGTGTAACGGCACCTGGCGACATCAGGGGGAAGTGCGGCGGGATAAGGATGAAAGTTAAGGAGGCGAAAATCTGAGTGGGGTGGGTGGGAGAGGTGGTGGATGGGTCCAACAAACACAGACTTTCACCCGCGAGAGTGGTGTTCGTGTGGTGGATGGGTCCAACAAACACAGACTTTCACCCGCGAGAGTGGTGTTCGTGTCCCAAAAGATTCTAAAGCCAAACCCTGTTCTTTTTTCCTAAACCTAACCTTGTGATTTTGTTGCCTAAACCCAACCATGTGTGTTTGTTGTTGAAGAAAAAAAAAGTCAATTTGCGGTGTTGTACCGACGTAGTGCATTTATTTTGAAAGAGACTGTATGCAAACATTGAATTTCTTTATATTCATGTAACAAATATACAAATGTCAATTAGATGGTTATCTGCATGAGAAATTCAGAAAAAGAAAATCGGTTATGATAATTATCCGCTTATAGTGATCAATTTGACCCAGACGGAAGTGATCACTGTAAGTGGTTTCCACTATGTATATATATATACATATACATATTTTCTATGCGGCTATTAAAGTAAAAAATACAGCGCACGTGTGTAAATTAACAGTCCGTTTATTCCAAAAGTCATAAAGAAAGCAAGGGAAGAACATTTAATAAGGCCCTGGAGGGCGGGAGTGGATGCACCCGGTTAAAGAGTACCCGCCCGGACGGGACGCTCTAAAACTAAAGTGAGCGCGCCCGTAAGGAGGCAGGGATCATTTCATTGGTCAACAATAAACCTGCCGTTTTATTGGTTGGGGGATTTTGACAGAGTTGTTACACAAAAAAATCCAAGCACAAGGCAGAAAGCTGAGAGCAGAAATTCCACAAGCGCACAGAAGCAGCTTGAGCGCAAGGAGAAGAGCTGAAGCTGGAGCAGGAAATCTGTGCAAGCAACATTGTATCTGAGTGCGAGCACACAGTTTGAGCAGAAACAGAGTAGATCTAAGCACAAGCAGAGGCTATTTGAGTGCGAGGACAGGGTTTTGAGGGACAATATTACAAAATCTGAACGTCTGAAACAGATGTATCTAGTTTTGTATGTTAAAAGAGTATAAATGAGCCTTAAGCTGTTAACGCCTTCCATTCCCCAATGTTGCTCTCCTCAAAGCCACCAGACTTCACTAGAAAAAAAAAGTAACTTTGCCTACTGAACACAGGAGCTGCTGGTTTATTGGTGAATCAGAGCTAGCTCCTTTAAATGCCGAAGTCACACAATAACACAAACTAACTGATGGAGGCACCAGTGGACCAGCAGCTCCTGTGCTCTGCGCTGTTAAATAACTGTTTTTCTCAACGCAGTCTGGCTTTGAAGAGGGCGATAGATGGACTTCAGTTCCCGTCTGCAATTGCTGCCTAACTGCAAGATAAAGCAGTAAAAATACTCTCAATATAGCTTACACTTAAACTGATATGATTTTTTTAAGTGGCTAAAATATGTTTTGTGGCTGACCCTGTCCACAGCAGTACATTGATAAGCTTCCATGATGGTATTCCTGTCTGCATCGCCAAACTAGAGGTGTGCCAACTGACATCTCTTGTATGTAATACACTGATAATAGATATGTACCTCATATAACCCAGCTTCAGAAGATCCAAACTATCCCTTTACGCATGGTGGCTGCCACCTGTGTAGGGGTTGACATATTCACTAATCTCAGTATAAATTTGAGTTTGCCAAAGAATGGACAGGATTCATTCAAGATGGTGACATGAGAATCTGTGGGAGCATAGAGATTTAAAAAATTACGGTAAAATGTGAATGTGGTTACCTTTTGCTTGTTCAATAATCTATATAGAGATTACAACATAGATTTTAGTACATATTTTCAAATGTGTGAGCTCATGTATTTGCACATCTGGATCCTTTATTCTCAAGTGCTATTCTTGAATGCCAGGTTTCCCATCCTGATTGTAATTTTTCTGCCATTTTGAAACACTGGCTCAACACCCATGTGTGGTCACTTTCCTCACAGATGGGACCGGCCCATCCTTCTTTTAGCTGGATGCACATGCACCTCACAGCCAGGGCAGGGCACTACGGGCAGCTGTGGCTGGGGATTTGCGGCAGTAGGAGATGCTGCAGGAGCAGGACTCAATCATCATCACCTGCTGCAGGGTGAGCATGCCTTGGGGGCAACGGAAAACCATCTGCACAGTCCTGGTGTGGGAGGGGCTGCAGCAGTGTCCCTCCAGACAGGTCAAGGCACAGAACCTGGGATGGTAGGCTCTAGTGCTCCAGCAGCCCTGATGTTCAAGCTGAATGGACAGAGGTGATATGTAGCTGCTCTCACACACCCCCGAACCCTGGAATACACAGTGACAAGCAAAATTGTAGTAGTTATGTGGTTATGTTTCCAGTGATGTGTAGTCATGTGTAGGTTGGAATGGGGACCATCCGTATCCTGGTTTATGGCAAAAAAATTGTAAAATGTGTTCTAACGTACTGGTAAAGGTATAATATTCCATTATATCACTTCATTAGTGTTATTGAAATCAAGCCTCACCCCTTTTCACCTCTAAGCCAATCACAAGCCACCAGCATATCTCAGCAGGCTCAGTCAAGAGAGTCTAACCGCAGACCTACTGCTTTGGGACCTCAGGTTAGCAATTGAAAATGTTTACACTTTTTGTGTGGCATTTTTTTCACCAAGGGCAGAGGTTTTACAAAGTCAGATCCAACCTAATGTTCACATTAGTGGCCTTATCTTTACCCCATAGTGATAGTCCTGTTGTATCCTGTGATACCTCTGTGTTTCAGGTTTTTTTTTTTCAGAGGATGAATTATAAAAGTTGGTGGTTGTTGGACTATACACCACCCCTTCCACCCACCCCACTTGGACCTCCGCTCCCTTAACTTAAGTTTTTCAGCTGCGTTTCATCCTGACATTGAGTATCATGCCAATGTGAAAGGACAGCTTTTTCAGCTTTTTAGTCGGTGTCTGGCGCCAAAAGTCACTGACCAAGTGTCGCTATTCAATGACTTCAGAGTGAGACCGGGTGTCTGACTTCTCTCCAATATAATGGAACTAGATGGAACTCGGCTTGTGGTGCTCAAAAAAATACATTTGATAAATTCAACAGCAGATTGATTGATTGATTGATTGATTTCTTGATTGATTGAAAGAATATCGTTCCTACAGGAACCTGCTCACAACAAGGTCTGTGTGCAATAAAGACATTGCTGCTGAGTTTTTCAAATGCATAAGTGCCATGGGCTAAATGTATGAGCACCATCCACTTTCATTATATTGGAGAGAAGGCAGACATCTCTACAGCCAATATCTCCAACACTTGATAACTCACAGCAAAACTTTCTAAATTGATAAACAGCACTACAGCCAAGAGGAAAAATATGTATATTTGATTTTGGGGTGAACTGTCCCTTTAATGAAAAAAGAAGGTCTGCTAACAGAGTGTGCACCTCA